TGATGCCACCTGGCCGATCCATCTCATTGGAGGTCTTCCTCTTTTTCTCTGACCCTCCATCTTACCCAGCATGACATTCTTCTCCAGTGACTGTTCCCTCCTGACAATATGTCCAAAGTATGAGAGACGAAGCTTAGCCATCCTGGCCTCCAAGTAGAATACATAAATTCTTGCGTCACTAATCACCATCTGTCTGTTTTCCCATTGTTTTATACATATCTTCTTGTCCCTCACAGGTTGTAAATTTCTTAAGATTATGGTCCATTTCTGTTTCACCTTTGTACCCCCTCTAAGCATACAACAGATGGCTTTGAGTAGGCACTCAATACATACATGCTGTTGTTGAGCTGGGAAGATGATGGTTTTGATTCACCACCAGGTGGGAATATCCTCCACATTGTTTTTCCAGGAGGTGTGCTAGATTTGAGACAGGGATATCCAAATGAACAATGTTGTTGTCAATTCTGACTCACAGAAACCCTGTATATGGTTTCTGAGGAGCAACTGGTGGGTTTGAATCACTGGCCTTGAGGTTCAAACTGACCTTGTGTTCTAGTGCATTACCCTGCAGTGCCACAGGGCCAATTCTTGAGCCTGGCAGATGTTGTAGAGAACAAGAAAACTACTAACATTTCTTCAGGGGAAGATCAAGGATCTCATGCAAACTCTCCAATTCAATATATGTACTAATAATACAGTTCTTTTAACTTAGAAAAAGATTTATTAAGTTGCATTTCAAAGGAAGATAATGTACAATCATTCCTAGTGAGGTTCCAGAAGAGGCTTTTGTTGGGGATCCATAAAACAAGAAGGAGACTCCTGATCCTTATAATTCCTTTTCATAGACAAATAAACTATCATTATTTCTTGCTGCTTTCTTACTCTACCATATAATCAATTACTATGACCTATTAATTCAGCTTCTAGATCTCTGTCATATCTCTTAATATTGTCTTCACCCCCATTTCCATTAACCTTATTTTAGACAAACATCATTTCCCACATTAAGCAATAACTTTTGAACACATCTCGCATTTCTAGCTCTTGCCTCACTCCAATACAATCTCTGAACTTCAGTCAGAGGGATATTTCTAAAATGTAAATCCTATTATATCTCATCCAGATTTTCTAAAAAATCTTTCAACAGATCTTCAAGAAAAACAAAACAAAACCAAATATGCTTATTAGATCCTAATATAAGGGTCTGCTTGTCTTTCTGATTCTCCTCTCTACATCCCAGCCATACTGAACAATTCGCAGTTTTTCTTAGTGCTAGTTCATTGCCATGCATAAAGCTACTGCTACTGCTGCTGGAACGTCACCACTGCCATGGCTAGTACTGCCACTACTTTTACTTCTTGTTGTTGATGTTAAGTGCCGTCAAGTCGGTTACAACTCATAGCGACCTTATACAAGCTTTCCAAGGAGCAGCTGGGGGATTTGAATTGCTGAGCTTGTAGTTTGCAGTTCAGTGTAAACACCACACCAGAAGTACTCTCCTTTTATTAGTTACCAATTAATGAACACTATGTTTAATAAACAAGGATTTTACTAAGTGCTATAATTTATTTAGTCTTACCAAAATAAAAATTCTGAGGCATGGCAATTATTACTGTTTTGAACTAAGAAAACAAACAGCATTAAGAGGTTGATAGTCACAAAGCTATTAAATGGCAGAGTTATGCTATAGAAAACTCTTGCTCATTGTTTCCTGCATGTTAAGTACTAATTTATGTACTTTTCAAATATTATCTCACTTAATTCTTTTAACAATCCTATCACTTTGTATTTGAAGAAACTAAGACAGGCAGTAATTTCTATACACTGATTCCAAGTCTCTCCGGCTCTGATAGCGTAGTGGTTATGAATCGGGCTGCTAACCTCAGGAGCTGCAGTACAAAACTACCAGCTGTTCCCTGGAAGAAAGATAAGGCTTTCTGCTCCCATAAAGATTTATAGCCTCAGAAACCCTGTACAGGGTCACTATGAGTTGAAACCGACTCCA